TTTGGTATGCATTTTATTAAACTTTATTAATAAATAAGTAAAATTGCATATATAACTTTATAAAAAAGGTCTTTACATTATTTTTTACTGTAATTTTATTATTAAAATTATTTTAACGTTAATATCAAAACAAAAGTACAAAGTAATAGTATTATATTAGCTTTAAAAGTTTTGTTATAAATGTGTAAGTTACAACCTTTTTTGAACAACTTTGCTTAACCCCAAAACTTAAAAAAAACACTTGATTTCCAGAATATCAATATATCATAAAACTCTTCAAAAAGAAAATAAAAAACATTTAGTATTATCATAAAACTACAATAAATACAATTAAAATTAAAATATACAAACTGAAATGAAATATGAAATACTAAGTACCAACATACCACAAAAAAGAATAGAGAAAGAGTGAAAGATAGGAAGAGTAAGAGATAAAATAAATTATGCCGGAGTTATGTAATAAAAGGGCTGATTAGCCAATCAAAAGTTGACTGGTCCAGAATAAGCATCTGGACCGGTGGATCAGGTTAAGGATGGCCAATAAAATTACGTTCTGATCACATGATAAATTTTTTATATATAAACTTTTTTTTATTGAAATTTGAAAAAGTGACCCGGCCGGGTGAAGTGAAGCGAAAATTCGAATTTGTGTGGCCTAATAGAAAAAATTTTTTATTATAAGTGAGTATTCGGTTAATAAGAAAATAATATTTTTTTCTTGAGGTCATATAAAGAAAAATCATAAAATTATTCTTGACTGTAATCTGTATATAACGCGTAATATAGGTTCGAAATTAACCATCAAATATATTTACAGCATATGAAATTAACAATACAGTCGGCTCGCGTTATAACGAATTTCGATATAACGAATTATTTAGTACAACGGAGATTTTCACTGTGTACGGATTTTGACATATAAAAAAAATTACTATACCTGATACCGAATTTTACTAATTAATGCTGTATACCGTATAACGAAGTAAAGTGTATAAACAGTATACAAAATGACTCACATTGTAACGAATTTTATATTATAACGACACACTATTTTATAAAAATTTCGAATTTTAAATGTTACTACTTGTGGCAATAGAATATATGTAAAATTTATAAAAGAAAATATATAGAAAAGGAATTATTTTAAGTTATATTTCAATTTCAATTGTAATGCGATATACCGTAATATACAGTACAAAATTTTCCCTTATTATACCAGGTTTTCCTATAATAATAACAAATCTTCTTATACCGAAGGTCAGATCGGCCTGGACACCAAATTCGTTATAACGCGAGCCGATTGTATATCCACTACTCAAAATCAGCAGTAATTTCTTTAAATTTTTTTTTTTTTAGTTTTTGGCTGGGTTCTTAAACATGCAGGAATCGATTAAAATGAAAACCGATAACATATTTATACATGAACTACAACGTTATAGTTTAATAATTATTAATCTCACGGTTCCTAGTTAAAATTTGGGATTTTTTTTCTTGATATTCTCACGGGTGGTATTTATTTAAAAAGATGAGTAAAAAGTCTATCAATATTGGAATAAAAAGTCTATCGTTATTAGTCAAATAAGTATATTAAAGGACGGATACTGTGAGATAAATCAGTTATTTCACGAGAGTCACGATTTTCACGGCTGCGCCGTGAAAATCATTGATATCCAATTATCCACAGTTCCGTGAAATAACTATTACATAAATGCATTCTGTGGCACAATATGACATTTCCGACCAATAATTTTGACACGAGATGAGAACGCAAAAATTTACAACAATGGCTTTTGAATTTATAGTATATATAATTTTGATACAAAGTTAATTCAAAACCGCAAAATATTAAACATAAAATATTACATTTAATATATACAAATACATATTACATGAAACGGTAGTGGATCATTTTGCCGATCATATATTATAAAAAGTTGACTCCAGTATAAATTGATATTAAAACTCCATTTTCTCTCTAAATAAAATTGTAGAGAAAGCAAAAATTGATAACTATATGTTGCTTTTTACTAAGTATTATTTGAAAAAATAAAAATCGTTTTTTTTTTATTGTAAAAGAATGATCGAAAAAAAAATATATATAACCGTTGCTATTATTGATCACGTGCCGATAAATCAGTTGGTGAATTGCGGCTAATTAATTCCTTAAACAGGAACAACACTGAACGGATATCAAATAAAATTGATTATCTTGGATCAGGTGGTTAATATTTAGGGGGTTTTTTTTATTTCAGACCACACCCTCTTTTTACGCACATGAAATTTATCATATAATAAAAATCCACTTTCATTGTTAAAATTAAAAAATATTCATTTTAAAAAATATGACACGTATTTTCTAAATTAGATTGTAACATTGATTAATCAAACAAATTGTCGTGTAACGCCTTGATTTATATTTTTTTTACCATTCGCTTTTATATAAATAGTTTAAGGTACAATGTACTATCGCTCTATTCCGATAATGATAAATCTCTTTGACTTTTTACCAATTTAAATTTTTTAATTTAATAATCTATTTTCGGCTTGAGTGAAACAATGAAATATAAATGAACGCACAAAACTTTGAATCGGTCATATGCTTAGACCCCTAAATAGGCGTATTATACACCCATTCAGTCTTATTGCAACAAACTAACTATGTTCATTATGCCAAATTAGAAACTTTTTTTAAAGTAATTGAGTACAAAAACAGCCAAATGGTCATAGCTTTCAGTAAAAGCGGATTATGGAACTCCGAATTCACACACGCATGAATGTCAATGAAGAAAATTTATAATTTACAATTAATTTATGTTATCTGTTATCATTTACTCTTTATTTTATTATATTGATTTTAAAAAAATATTATTATTACAAAAGTATGCAACATTTTAGCTAATAAAAAAATACGCATTTTTTTTTAGAAAAATAATAATAATAACATGTATAATGTGTACTTTAATTTTTAATAAAATATGGCAAAATTTGAGTTATATTCCTTATGCGTATTTGGTATATATATTTGAGATTTTTTGGTGTTTTTTTTTTTGAAATTGATAAATTATGCCGAAATAATGGTTTGTTTTATTTGTTTTATTAAAAAAAGAGTGGTACCGTGTTACAGAAGTGTTAAATGCAGAAGTAATTACTTATGGCGAATTAATGAGAAATTTAAAATATTCCAATAAAAAAGCTAAATTGATTGTCATGTGATATAAATGATAAGCTTAACATTGGATGTTGGATATCATTTATTTCCATTTTTTGAGATAATCAAAGATGATCGTGCGACAAAAAAAGCGGTCAATGTGCTAGAAATTCTCGATTGAATCATTTAATATCCAATCAAAATTTAACACTGTATTTCCAATTGAAGACTAGATTCTTCTATAAAATCAAATCATTTTATAATCTTTTGAATTAGAAATAAATTTATGCTTATTTTAATCGTATTACACTTTATCAATGTTTCTTTTTTATAAATATGATTATATTGCCCATTTTGTAAATTTCAATCAAATGCGTGGTTTCTTTTATAATGAAAGAAAATAATACTTCTTTTAGTTTAAGTAAATTTTTTTAAATTATTCCATTTTCCTTTGTTGTTTAGTTGTATAATGAGATATTATAATAAACCTTTCAATTGGCTATGCACACTGACGTAACAATAACGAAGATTTTTATTATAATTTTTTTTTTATTTTGATCGCTCCGGTGAAAGGATATGTTTTGACGCTCTATAAAACGGCTCAATTTTTTGTTTTTTGCTCTTCAGTATTTTTACTCAAAACCTCGAAATGAAAAATAGAACAACACCCAATAAAAAATGTAAAAATAAAAAAAAAGAAATGAAAAAAAAAAAAAATAATGAAAAAAAAAGAGATGAAAACTCCTTTTTCATTTTTAAACGATTGGCAAGAGACACTTTGAATAATCATTATTCCCTATTAAACTCTAAGCAACAAGCAAAAGAATCAGGGAAGTTTTGGAGATACATTCCAGACGAATTAAAAAACAAATTTTTCGAGCATGCAAACCGGAAAAGGCTACTTGATAATACGGAAGTTATAAGTTACATTACACACAACCACCCTACGGAAGAGTTACGTGTGATTCTTGACGATCGTTGTCTTAAATCGAATTTTTCATCGTCGGGCGAAGAATACCATCGAACTTCTGATGATTATACAACGAAAGGTTCTTTATCGCCAGAAGATGAAGAATATAACCGAATTTTCGATGATTGGATTAGTATCACTGATACGCAATTTGATTCATGAAAAAAATAACAAAAATATATATATATTTCATAAATTTTTTTGTTGAATTTATAGAATATTTTATAAATATAGAAAGTTCTTATATCATTAAATTTTTTTTCGTTTTTTTTTCGTTATCGAATACTATTATAGTACAAAGTTTATTTACTAAATCGTATATAATATGCATATATTCGTCAAAAATTTAAATTTCTTTTTTTTTTTTATTACCCCGAGAGGTTTTTATTTTCGTTAAACATTATCGGTATCCCATATAATAAAGTCGCGAATTATTTTACTTAATTATTATACAATTGTTCAAATCATTAAAAGATTTTACAAGTGTACTTATGTATTAATCATAATCGGATTCAAAATTTTAAATATTAAAAAATTGAAACCGAAGCAAGCATATACAACATTTTTGTTTTTTAAAGAAATATTGGTAAATGGTAATATGAATTGCAAATTTGTTCACAATTAATTACTCATTTATAGGAAATTTATTGCTTAATTTTAAACCATTTTAATAGAAAAGATTTTTTATCATAAGCGAGGATTCGGTTCATAATAAAATAATAAAAAATTATTTTTTTCTTGATGTCATATAAAGAAAAATCATAAAATTATTCTTGACTGTAGTCTATATATAACACGTAATATATGGTCGAAAAACCATCTCATTAACCATCAAATATATTTACAGCATATGTAATTAACCATATATCCACTACTCAAAATCAGCAGTAATTCTTTAACTACTATTTTTAAATTTTTTTTTTTAGTTTTTGGCTGGGTTCTTAAACATGCAGGAATCGATTAAAAAAGAAAACCTATAACATATTTATACATGAACTGCAACGTTATAGTTTAATAATTATGGTTCCTAGTTAAAATTTGTGATTTTTTTTTCTTGATATTCTCACAGGTGGTGTTTATTTAAAAAGATGGATCAATATTGAAATAAAAATTAGTCAAAATAAGTATATTAAAGGGCTTTATGGTACGGATAGTACCGTGAGATAAATCTGTTATTTCACGGAATATCATGATTTTCAGCAGCCGTGAAAATCATGAAATAACTATTACATATTCATTATTTCCATCCATGTATGCCATTCCAATTTATATTAGAGATATTAATAATAATATTGTTATGCAATAAAATCCTTCACATGTAATATCAGAATCCGAGATTAAATATCATGTATTAGATAATATTTGATTTTATGCATAAAAAAAAATATGTTACAGCTGTTTTCATAAGACCTGGGACAAAATAAAATTTTGAACCCGACCGCCGACCCGCCGATCCGGTTCAGTTATTTATTTTCTATCAAATATGGATCACGTGCCCAGCTAAAAATACCGGATCGGCGGGTCGGCGGTCGGGTTCAAAATTTTATTTTGTCCCAGGTCTTATGAAAACAGCTGTAATTAAACTTGGGCGCCGAAATCTACATATCAATCAGATATGCCGAAATGAGATTTAATTTTGCCAAAATCCTAAATCCCGAATCCCGAATCCTAAATCCCAAATCCCAAATCTAAAATCTCAGATCCCAAATCTCCAAATTTCAAATTCAAATTGTTGCCGAAAACCGTACCGTCTGCTGTAATTTCCTTTTAGATTGTGAGACGTCACGTATTTCAACTTCAGCATATAGCTGAAAAGTTTCGGCATCCAAGTTTAATGTTAACTGTTAATGCAAAACAATTATAGATATTTATAAACATCTTAACGTTAATATCTACTTTTAATAAGCAGAATTGCATTAAATGAAGGTGTTTATTAACCTCTTCTCGATTTGGAATTACAATTTTATTTTAATCATAATATTCTGTATTTGTACATTCTAAAGTGATTAAAGTTGTTTGATATTTTGCATTCACAAATAATCAAATAATAGAATTTTTTATTTATTTATTAATTAATAATGATTAATATTAACAAACAATAAAATGTTCATATCAATTATCGCCGTTTTCAAAATGGTGTATGTAATTATATTAGATTAAGAAAATAAGAAAACGTCGAATACAGGACAAAAAACGGACAAAAACGGATGAAAACCGGCATTCGATATACAATTACGGAATAAACTGCCTACACCATTTTTGAAAACGGTGATGATAATGATTTTAAAATGATTATTTACAAAAATAGACAATTATTAATAATGAAATTAAAAAAAAAAGGTAATTAAAGAGTATAATTAATTTGTCAATAAATAATTTTTTTATATCTTCTCAAATATTCCATTCAATAACAAATATAATTATTTATTAATACTGCAATTGGTCTAAATTAAGATTTATTTTGATAGCATGGGAAAACTATAATTTTTTTAAGTTAACCTAATTAAGAATTGAATGAATTTTTTTTTACAATAATCATTATTCTAAATTCTTTTAATTGGTTGAAAATGTGTCGAATTTTGCTTGTTTATTTGTTTATTATTATTTCAGTTATTTATTTCCTTTTTCTATATACAAACAAAAGTCAAATTGTAACTAAAATAAGATAATAATGACATATGATACATATTTCTACTATCATTAATATTTCATAGTTTAAAGCGAAAAAGGTATATGACTGGTCAACCCTATTTTTAATTATATGACGAGTAAATGGCATAAAATGAGGAATATTTTTCATGAGGGAATATATTGTAATTATTTACACCCGCCATTTAAAAGATTTGTTGGTTTGATATGCAAATAGAGACCATGGCAAATGTATTACACAATTAGTAAATCAATGCCAAAAAAATGGAGGATCAGCATCTTAAAAGGAAATCAATATAGAAAATTTTTTTGCATACGTACATGTATACGAATTCGTTACGTTACTTTTCGTACAGTAGTATTGTACGTGCGTCTCGATACTTCAGTTAGCCCAACAGCCAATCCACGGTGCCACCTTCCGAAAAGGATGCGATGCATTAATATAGAAGAATTGTGGGATAATGATTTTAAGTTAACTTTAAAAGTTAATTAAAAAATGGTTACTTTTAGCAAATGAAGAACGATTGAAAATATTATCATCCAAGATTTTTTTTTCAAAACTAAAATGGTCAATTATGGCGTGATTTTTTATACGCAGATTTTAACTAAATTAAGTCAAATAAAACTATTTTTTACTAGTATATTATTTTTATTATTCCATTATATCCAAATATAAAATTCTCTTTTTTTTTCAAAAAAATAGTATCCAAAGTGGTGATAGCCGCTATGATAAACATAACTGATAATATAGAAAACGAAAAAAATGATCAGCATAGATCATGTGTTTTATTACTTTTATACCACTTCCCCAGTAACACCACTAAATTTTTCACCCCCACGTGACCTAATAATATTCATCACCGGCATCACACCCCACCGCGTTTTCACTGTTTATATTTATCTGAGGGACTTAGTTTTTTTTTGCCTTCCGAAATTATTTTTTTCACAACCCTTAACTGTCACCGGACACGTGGGGTGAAATTTTAATTATAAAATTGGTGGTGTTACTACGGTAAATCTTTTATACGATCAATTGATCAGGTTATTTGGCCATTCCTTGAATGACCCTTGAATAATAACCTAGTCATTCGAGTCATTTTGTCATTTGAGTCATTTAAATATAATGTTTGTATAATTCAGGCCAAACTTATGATGCTGGGCAGAATTACATTTATAATGTCACGTGATATTATCCACGAGACAATCGAGACATTGAAATTGCATAAATAATTTTGACCAGAATTATGATGCTTTAAAATTATGCTCCAAGCCTCCAACCTTTATTAGAAAAATCTGAAGCGCTATATTTTGGAATTAATGGACAAGTGATTACTTTCGCTGCACGGATTTCTTTTTTTCTCGCAGATATGCTCAAAGATCACATAATCTAATTTTAAATGACTAGATGTCATTTAGATCACTTTAATACCATCACTGCGATCAAGTATATGATTTTTTTCTTATAGTATTGTATAATAATTTATTTTTGCTTAAAAAGCATGTTTGCCGTTTAAAAGAAATAAGAAATAACTTTATCTATCAAATTTTCTTGCCATATCTAAAACATTTAGTATTAATTTTTTTGATAAACAAACAAATATAATTTTTACCACTTTGATAATTATCTGATATTTAAATGATCAAAATTTTTTCGTATTTGTATAAAATAAATATTTAATGATATGTAATTTAAAATTAAATGAATGTTATTATTTAAAAAATACAATAGGAAAGATTTTTTTACAAATTTTTTCAATATATTTGAAATTAAGTTACAAAAATATTATTATAAATATATATATAAAAAAAAAAATATTTATCATTTCAATATTTTAGTAACCTTTCGTAAAAGCAAGATTTTTATTGCAATAACTAAGATTGAGTTATTTATCAATAAAAACATGATCTACTAAATAGATGTCTATTAATATATATGTGTTCTACAAAGTGGATCAATATATATTAACCGACTAACAAATAACAAAAAATTGATATAATAAAATATCCTAATAGGATCGAAGGGTCTCCAAAGTCCAAATTAAAATTACTTGATTTTACATTATATTAACCAACTATCCACAATGATTATTTTATTAGTAAGATATATGTCTATTAATATTTCACTCTTATTAATATTAACCGACTAATCTAATTAGTTAAATTGATCACGTGATAATTGAACTGAAACTTATTAAAATAACCAAATACTGTATATAAATTTTGATAATTATCATCAATTACTTTTGGAAGACCCATTCTTAATAACAAAGGACTTTTTAGTTATGGATGTATTATGATTATTCTTTAAACCATTGTTTTGAAGAGAGGTATTTCACCAATTGACCAACGAAAAAGATGAGATTTAATGGTTAAAGTTTTTGGTATTTAATAGTATGGTAATTATAATGATAAAAAGGAGTGGCAGGTGGAGCATTAAAATTAGTGCTCAGGAAAAAATTATTAAATTTTTTTTTATTTTTTTCATTTTTTATTTTTTATTTTTTTTTAAAAAAAAATTTCTAGAGCGATTAAATAGCTTTTTTTTTCTTTTTTTTTTACTGCGTTATTATGTAAAAAAGTACACATGCTAATCATGCTATCATACTGAAAGAGTTTGTTGATTGCTGATCGTATTATGGTGCTGAAATTCAGTTTAGGTTGTACGATCAGTGATTAACATATAAGATCACGATGGAGAGTTTTAGGAAAATTACCCAAGTCAGTTTTCACGAAAAATAATCAAGTTTTCGGAAAACCACCACGTTCCATCTAACGAGGTTGAATGTTGAAACTATAGAACTTTTATTAAAAGTTAGCGAAGAAATAGCTATGAACTATATAGAAATGATACTTCAGAACTAGAGCGAGAAATCAAAATTCTGAACTTCATGCTTTTGCCTCCTGGTGGCATCATCTTGACCCTCCTCATTGTAAAATATATTATGCAGGTCAAGTTAGTGATAATAATACAAAATACATTTGCAAACAAAGTATAGATTGTCTTTATTATCTATCTATACAATTTATTATTACTAATATCTACAAAAACACAATTATCATAATCTCGATTATCCAAACCCGGTCTATCATTAGTAATAAAATACATGATAAACCCCACCGTTACAACTGGCGCCAAGTTAAATAATGGCAGTTCCTCGTATCAACCTTACCGCTACACATCGATCATGTGCGGATCGGCAGTTAACCGCAAACCGAAACGTAAATCGAAAAAAAACCGAAAAATCATCATCGATTTTCCAATAGATTCTGTTAAAGATCAACCGTGTACTAACTATAAAAAGGAAATTTATACGGGAGATATTACGGACGACAATATACTGGAACGAAAAAATGAAATTAAAAGTTTTAGGCGAGGTTAATTAAATAAAGGTTGTTCAATAACGTTAATTATTATAATTTCCTTTTGAATATTTTTGTATTGTTTGCTAATAGAGTATATGAAAATTAATGATAATAAAAAGATTTGCTTTTTACAAATTATTTTCCATAATAAAATATTAATAGAATCTTCAAATTAAAAGTAAGTCAATTCGCACAGACTCTGTAGGAGTATAGGTTTACGTAAATCTAATAGTAAGTTTTTCTTGGCTAAACCTTATCTCTATAGGGCCTATAACTAGTAGTTATAAAAGGGGGATGTCTTTTATAAAACTTTTCATACTGTATATAATAGGTATTGAAAAAACGTCAATTTTTAAAGCCATTCAAAAAATCTTAAGTTGATTTGCGGTTTTCCACACTCATGTTATTTCGTACAAGACCTTTATCGGTTCCAATGCTATCTCTATAACAATTTGCAACTAAATAAATTACTCTTGCCTTATTTTCATTGGCTAATTTATAATACCACTTGAATACTTTGTCTTCATTATTGTTATAAAAATATTAATTTAGCCTGTATTGAGCATCAAGAATACCATTTATTGCAGCTTTTCTATTCCAACAAATCCTTTTCTTCATTTTTTGAAATATATTTTTCATCATAAGACCACCTTGCTACTAAATATTGATCAAGAATATGTAAAATTTACTTTCATCTTTTAAAACATTATGTCTGTTACCATAACGAGTTCCCTACTCAATTTTATATTTTTATAGCGAAGGAATATTTAATTTTGTTAGTTCAAATTATACTTTGCAACCACCACCAACTATACTACGGCTTGATTGTGAAAGAAAGTCACCACAAATGATACAGTAAGATACTTTGCCATTGGTAAATTTTTTTTTTCTCGGGAATTTTTAACTCAATTTTCCCAACCATTGAAGCAACAAACTGAAATATGCAATTCATTCATTTAATATAATAATTTATTAAATACAGTAAGTAGGTAGCCATTAATTTATTAGTTGAAATTATCGTAACTCAGTTAAAACACTGCACGAGTGAGCTTGTAGCTAATTAAAAATATGGTCTATCATAAATCATAATTCAATTAATTCATGGTATGTCATCGTTGCAAAAATATTTTATGCAGGTTAACTAAAATTGATATTAAGATAAATAAAATTATAAAAATATTAAATATCCCTTATTTATTAATATACGAAAAAAAATAAAAATAGTGAAGAAAAGCAAATTTTGTAACGTTGATCGGTAAAATCTAAGCATGTTAACAACTTTTCGTGAATATCTAGTATCTAATTTGAAGGATAATTTAAAACGTGTATAATGGTAGTGAAGAAATATCAATATCTAAGCCATTCAAAAAATGATCTAAGTTGATTTGTGGGTTTTTACCAAACCTTGAAAATTCATATTTTCTAATCCACTCCATAGCCTCTTTTAAATTTTTATCGGTTCCAATGCCATCTCTGTAACATTTTGCAACTATATAAATTGCTTTTAAAATATTTACATTAGCTAATCTCATATACCACTTGAATGCTTTGCTTCCATTCTTATTAATTGAATTGTTAATATAATATTCTGCCATGTTAAATTGAGCATCTATATTGCCATTAATTGCAGCTTTTCTATTCCAATAAAATCCTTTTTCTTCATTTTTTGGAATATATTTTCCATCATAATACCACCTTGCTACTAAAAATTGACTATAAACGTGACCTTTTTCTGCAGCTTTTAAATAAAATTCAAAAGCTTTGTATTCATCTATAAAAGTACTACATTCTCCAAAATGATAACAATTTCCAACTCTATATAATGCCCATTTGTACCCTCCTTCAGCAGATTTTAAATAAAATTTAAATGCTTTTTTCTCATCTTTTATAACCTCATAGTACCCATGCTCATAACAAACACCTAATTCAAACATTGCTTTAATATTTCCGCCTTCTGATGATTTTGAATACCATTCAATTGCTTTATTATAATCTTGCTTGATGCAATAAAACTTACCTACATAATATTGTGATATATCATCTCCTTTTTCAGCATTTTTTATGTGTAATTTGTAATTATCCTTTCTATGGAAAATGATATCTTGATAAATAAGTAAAGAATAAAAATATTGTGTAATTATTTCATTTAATTCCTTAATATCATTATTATAGAAACTATCATTACGAAAACAAATAGTTTCATTTTTTTGATCAAAAGAAAATTGGTCCAATATTGCTTTTTGATTATTTTTAACAGCATTAAAAAATATATTTAATGCTTTAATTTTATCAACCTCACATCCAATTCCACATTGATAAAAAATTCCGATTAAACTTGTATAACAAAAAATATTTTGTGAATTATTTGTCATAATTTCAAGTACATTTTTAGAGTCTAAATCATAATCTAATAAAAGAGTATTTATAATTAATTTAACATTATTAAAATTATAATCTCCATATTCATATTCCATATTTAAAAGGATAAAATATAATTCTTGAATTAATTCTTTGAAAAATTTTGTAATAAAATTATCAAAGAATTGTATATTATTAACAATTAATGAAGGACTTGTTGTAAAATTGAATTTGAATGAAGAGGAATCATAATTTGTAATATTTGATTCAAATGAAAAAATAGAAGTATTATTTTTATTTTTGTTATTATTTTTATTAAAGCTATCATCAGTCATATTGAAATAATGGAATTGAAAAACAGAAGGCATGAGAAAGGGATTTTTTGTGTCATGTTACATATGGATGTTCAAGTTGTACAAATTTCTTGTGTCCAACAAAAAGTACGATCTTCATAAAAGAACGAAATATATGCTGTATATATATATACACGAAATAGGAGTACCATATTTTGCGGTTAGTAAGCACCCCCGAAAATAAGCACTCTGACCAGAATTATGGCGATTTTGGCCAGAATCATGAGGATCTTGGCCGGCATTAAATACAAAAAGGGTGCTTATATACCGCAAAATACGGTATCTTCATAAATATTGTTACTCGTACAGTACTATAATAATTTTATCATGATATTCCTTTGTAATATTTAATTAGATTGACAGTTAATAATTTACTAAATATAATATTAAAACTTCTTAATCTGCTAATATTTTATTCAATACTATGCAAAGCCGTTAATTTATTATTAGTTGAAAATATGTATCGTAAATAATAGTATGTAGTGCAAAATCATTAATTATTAGGATGAACAGAGAATATTCCGTAAATTAACCAAAAATGATGTTGGTATAATTTTTTTAGTAATTGTAATCATCAAATAGTATTGAAATTTTTTTAAAATATCCTTTGTTTATTAAACATTTGAGAAAATAAAACAGCAACTCTGGTTTTTTACTAATCCTTCCAAAATTAATTTACAAAAATTCTTATTTGGGTATTTAAGTTATATCTCCATATTTTTCTTTAAAAATTCCCATGAATTGCTTGCTACGTGATCGCCAAAATCTATTGAATACCCAATTCGAAGAATAATCTACTAAAAGTTAATCACATGCTTGTACTATACGGCTCTATTGAAGAAACATCAATGTCCGAGCAATTCAAAAAATTTTTTAAGGTGATTTGTGGTTTCCCATAAGACTTTGATAATTCATATTTTTTAATCCATGTTGTAGCCTCTTTTAAATTTTTATCAGTACCAATGCCATCTCTATACCATTTTGCAATTATATAAATTGCTTTTAACTTTTTTTTATTAGCTAATTGCATATACCATTTGAATGCTTTGCTTTCATTTTTATTGCTAGAATTGGTGGTATAATATTCTGCTAGTTTAAATTGAGCATCTGCATTGCCATTAATTGCAGCTTTCCTATTCCAATAAAACCATTTTTCTTTATTTTCTGGAATATATTTTCCATCATAATAATAATTTGCTATTAAATATTGACTTATATTATGCCCTTTTTTTGCAGCTTTTAAATAAAATTCAAATGCTTTATTTTCATCCTTTAAAATTCCAAGTCCATAATAATAATAATTTCCCATTACCCATAATGCATGTTTATACCCTCCGGCTCCCTCAGCAGACTTTAAATACAACTCAAATGCTTTCTTCTCATCTTTTTTAACCCCATATCCACAAGCATAGCAATATGCTAGTCTATACATTGCTTTAATGTTTCCTCCTTCTGACGATTTTAAATACCATTCAATTGCTTTATTATAATCTCGTCTTGCGTTTATATTATAAAAATAACAATTACCAATATGATATTGTGATATTGAATCTCCCTTTTCAGCATATTTAATATGGAATTTGTAATTATTTCTTTTATTTAAAATTATATCATTATAAAGAAATAAAGAATAAAAATATTGTGTAATTATTTCATTCAACTCTTTAATATCAAAGAAACTAATATCAAAGGTAAATTGATCTGGTACTATCACTTTTTGATTATTTTTAACAGTATTAAAAAATATTTTTGATGCTTTGATTTCATCAACCTCGCATCCAATTCCATATTGATAAAAAATTCCAATTAAACTTGAATAATAAAAAATGGGTTGTAAATTATTTGTCATAATTTCAAATACATTTTTAGGGTCTAAATCATATTCAAGTAAAAAATTATATATAAACTCATTTAATTGGTCAGTAGTATAATCTTCTATATTTAAAAGAATAATATCATGTAACTCTTGTAACAATTCTTTGAAAATTTTATTAATAATTAAAGGATTTTTTGCAATAATATCAAATTTTAATGAGGAGGATTCGGATTTTACATTATTTGATGATTCAATAATAGAATTATTTTTGTTATTTTCGTTATTACTTTGCTAACAATGCTAAATTTTCATAATGCATTGTGCGATCCTTGTACAAGCCTTGTACAAGGTATTTTAAATCTGAAAAAATATATAGTACAATATTTCTAACAATCCATTTTTAATATTAATTTATTCACATTCAATTGTAAAATATATAATTCTGATACATTTTTCAATGAGTCTTATAATTTTTTACAATGTTTCACAAGATTTTACTTATGTGTATATTGTACAAAATATTGTATAATGAATTTCACAATTAATTATTTATAATATAATCTAATTACCATTAACGTTAATATATACTAGGTGTATAATCTAATTACATTAAAAACCCTACGGGCTTTTCGTAAAATTTATATATTAAAAATATAAAAAAAAAGAATTCAAATTTCGGAGAAACCCCTATGGCCCTATTTATATAAAATTATGTATCACGTGCATGTGATATAATCCGCGATCATTTTTTTTTTTCTTTTAAACTTTTTTTTACTTTTTTTTTCATTCTTCCCTTTTCCTTCGTTCACCCTTTTACTTCCCTTCGTATCCTTCTTTCATCTCTCCCTTGTTCTTTCCTTTTCTTTTCTCCCTTTTCCCTTTACTTTTACATTTCCCTTCTCTTTTCTTTCTCTTTTCCCGCTTCTCTCGCACTTTTTGTTGAAGAAATCTTAAGCGTTTCCCTCCTTAGGTGCAAATTTCTGGTAAGTTTGTCTTTTTTTTAATTGTTTCATTTTAACGAACGATTTCTAATAGTTATTTTTCTTAATTTTTTTTAGACTTCAAGTATTTAGACACGTGGGAATATGGTGTGAAAATTTTTTTTCTTAAATCTTAATTATCTATTTTACCAATTTTTTCTTTTTTTTTAGATGGTTCTTACGGTCTACTTGGACATGGCATTTTGGCAAGTTTTTCATTATTTTTTTTATTTAATTGTTTTTATTTTATGAACAATTTCTAATAGCTCATTTTCTTAACTTTTTTTAGACGACTTGGTTCTTTGGCTATTTTGACGTGTGAGAAATTTTTTTTTCTTATCTATTTTAATGAAACTTTTTCTAACGGTTTAGTTTTTTTTTTTAGGTGGTTCTTTTGGTCTCTTTGGACGTGAAATTTCAGTAAGCTAGTTAAATTTTTTTCCTTAATTGTTTTTGTTTTAATGAACATTTTCTAACAGTTCATTTACTTTCTTCATCTAGGCGTTTCTCTAAGGTCTCTTTGGAAATGGGATTTCAGCATGGTAATTCTTAATTTTTTTTCTTTGATTATTTTATTTTAACGAACTTTATTAACAGTTCGTTTTTCTTAGTTTTCTCTTCTTTTAGGGTTTGCCGATCCTCTGTCCCTGAAAATGGTAGTAAGTGTCATTTCTTCTGGTTTTTCTTATATTTTTTGTCTTTGTTATTAACTTTCTCCTTTCTTTTTTTTGTAGATGTAGACTTCGATTTCTTTTTACTTTTAGGTTTTGGTGGCTCTTCCATGTTTCTTTTTTAGGTTTTATCGATTTCTAGGTGAGTGTGTTCTATTCTTATTTTATCTTTTTGTCTTAATTACTAATAGTTGTCCTTCTTCTTTGTAGGTTTCAATGCTTCTTTTTTTTGAGGTTTTAGCAGAAGAAAGATTTTGTTTTTTATTGCATATTTATTTTTTATGACATCTTTGATACTAATTTTTCTTTTTCTAGATTTTGACTTCGTTTCGCCCTTCAGACACGTGAGATTCGGTAAGAAATCAGAAGTATCTATATTTCAACGAAACATATACAACGAAACATATACTAATGTTTTGATTTTTTCTTTTTTTAGATGACTGAGTCTTTGGACATGTAACAATTCGGTAGGGTAGAGATTTTTTTGAATTATTCTTTGATGAAACGTTTATTTAACAAAACATCTCCTAATGCTTCAATTTTTCTTCTTTTAGGCGGTTCTTCAGCTCTTTAGACGCGGGACTTTGGTGGAGTATTATTTTTTTTAAATTTCTTTATTCCGTCTTTTAAAAATGGTTACTTATTTCTTTTTCTTTTTTAGACGGCTTTTTGGTCTCCTGGATGTGACAATTTGTAAGTTTTCAAAAATTTCCTTTAATTTAACGAACAGATATTAATAGTTCTTTTTTTATAGATATTTCTTCGAGTCTTTTTGGATGCGTAAGATTTTGTTATAGTAAGTTTTTTTTTCGTCTTAGTTTATTTATTATAATGAAACATATATTGACGTTTCAAATTTTTTTTTTTTAGACGGGTCTGGGCACATGGAAAAAGAAATCAGGACTATATTTTTTTTTTGAATTTAATTCTTTTAGCAAGATTTTGATGAAATGATTTTTTTTTGGCAAAACGTTTTATTAATGTTTCGCTTTTTTTCTTTTTTTTAAATACCAATGAGAGGAAATGTATTTTATAATTAAAGTTACCATAATTAAATTTTACAATATATTTTACAATAATTTGCTATAATTTATATTAAATATACATGAATAAATTAATATTACAATTGATGTTATACTAACTATTGTACTATGTCCCTACAAGACCAATAACGAGTATCTTAACATGGTTTGTATATAATGTACTGTAATATTAATTTTACAATACATTTAAAAAATTTCAAGTTGTTAGCAAAGTATTGTCTTCAAAGTTAACAAACATATTGAATAGTAGAACAAAAAATAGAATGCAAGACAATTTATTCGTGTATGGTTGTACAAATTTCTTTTGTTTGTATAACAAATAGTACGATAGTGTTTCGGGTAAAACTATTTTCAAAAATCAAGCCATTCTTCCAAACCTAACTTTGGAATGCATTTGTAGATCATTTTAGATGAAACTAAGTATTAGTTTCGCCCGAAACACTGAAGTTTGATCTCCGTCAAATTAAAAATAAGGCAGGTAAAATTATTTAAGGACATTTATTTTTGGAAAAATACCAGAAAATGAATGCGATAAATTCAATAAAGTCAGTTAGTACAATTGAAAGATACTATTATTATTATTATGATAATAGTACATTGATTAAATGGTTTATATCATGATGTTAAAAACTTAAAATCATGTAAAGAAAAAAAAAATCCCAGATTATTTGAAAAATTGATACGGGTGGGTCAAAAGGATCTAAAAAAAAAGAAAATAATAGTAATATTTACAAATATTATGAATTATTGCTGCTTTCATTTTTATCATTTAACTATTAAGTAACTGAATGTGATTCTTGTAGACTATTGTACTTGAGAGTACCGTAAGTCCGAATTTTGTTAGTACAATTTTATTTGTTAAATGTAACACGTACCGGTATATAATTATAAAATGTTACGCAAACATTATCGGAATTATGCCTTCAGTTATAAAAACACAATTTGTTATTATTTCTCGTCGGATAAGATTTTTAATTTATGATGTCAAAAAAATGATCGTAATTCATATCACGTATTGTTGCAAAATTATCAGGATGAACTTAGTTGTAAAAATTCCCTTACAATAATATCCTTTTAAAATAATAATTTACTTGTGACAAACATGTTATCTGTAAGCCAAGAATAATGTTAGGAAGTTATCCAAATTTCATTCATATCTTCCAAAGCTTTAAAGTTCAGTCGAATTTTTAAATATCGTATGTTTATTAATATAAATATAAATTATAATAACTGATAAAATTAAATAAATGCCTACTTTTACGATCTTTACACAATTAAAAAGAAAATTCCTGATACTATACTCAAATTCAAAAGAAAAATCCCTATTTCACATTCTTGTATGTGACGCTATTGAAGATACATCAATATCTGCGCCATCCAAAAACTTATATAAGGTGATATACGGTTTAAAATAAGGCTTTGATAATTCATATTTTTTAATCCACGTTGTAGCCTCTTTTAAATTTTTATCAGTACCAATGCCATCTCTATAACATTTTGCAACTAAATAAATTGCTTTTAACTTATTTTCTTTAGCTAATTTCATATACCACTTGAATGCTTTGCTTTCATTCTTACTAATAGAATTGTTGATATAATATTCTGCCATTTTAAATTGAGCATCTGCATTGCCATTAATTGCAGCTTTTCTGGTCCAATAGAATCCTTTTTCTTCATTTTTTGGAATATCTTTTCCATCATAATAATAGTTTGCTACTAAATATTGACTAGAATTATGACCTTTTTCTGCAGCTTTTAAATAACATTCAAAAGCTTTATCTTCATCTTTAGAAGTACAATTTCCATAATGATAACGATTCCCTAACTCATATAATGCACGTCTATATCCTCCTTCAGCAGACTTTAAATATAATTTAAATGCTTTCTTCTTATCTTTTATAACCCCATATCCATACTCATAACAACATCCTAATCCACACATAGCTTTGATATTTCCTCCTTCTGATGATTTTGAATACCATTCAATTGCTTTACTAAAATCTTTTTTTGTGTTTATACCATAACAATAACAATTACCTATATAATATTGTGATACATCGTCTCCTTTTTCAGCATTTTTTATATGTAATTTGTAATTATCTATTCTATGAAAAATAACATTTTTATAAAGAAGTAAAGAATAAAAATATTGTGCAATTATTCCATTTAATTCTTTAATATCATCATTGGAGAAACTAATGGGTTTATTTTTTTGATCAAAAGAAAATTGACTTAAAATTTCTTTATGATTATTTTTAATTGTGTTAGAAAATATGTTTGATGCTTTAATTTCATTAACCTCACACCCAATTCCATGTTGATAAAAAAATCCAATTAAACTTGAAAAACATAAAATATTTTGAGAATTACTTATAATAATTTCAAGTACATTTTTAGGATCTAAATCATATTCTAATAAAAAAGTATCTATAAATATATTAAATTTATCATCAGTAGTATAATCCCCATCTTCAAATTCTATATTTAAAAGAGTAACATATAATTCTTGCATTAACTCTTTGAAAAATTTTGTAACAAAATTATTAAAGGATAGTATATTATTAACAATTAAGGAAGGACTTGTTGTAATATTAAATTTAAATGAAGAGGAATCATAATTTACAATATCTGATTCGAATGAGATGGAGTCGATAATAGAAGTATTGTTTTTATCTTCGTTATTATTGTTATTAATGTTATTATTAGTCATATTGAATAATGAAATGAAAAAGTATGAGACAAGGTCATTTATTTATTCTCCTTGTGTCATGTTACATATGGTTGTACATGTTGTACAAGTTTCTGTGTTCCATACGATCTTCAAGGTAGAAAGAAATAAAGGATTTGCGATTACATAAATTTTTGTTGCTTTTCTTGGATTGTTAGTATATTTATTAAATAAATTTTAACTATTAAAATACTGTATGTGAATCTAGTTTAAGTTTACCTAATAAAGAAATTTTGTAATACATTACTCGTACGGCGCCATAAATACTTATTATTATTATTATGACAATTCTTTATTAACGAAAGATTATTTTTATTCGTTAGTTCAAAATTTATGAAGTTATAGGAATAACAACAAATACCGTATTCTTCCGAATTAAGCACCACTTTTTTATCTAGAAAATTACATTGAAATTCTGGATGGTGTTTAAATTCGGAAGTCTTTTAATATGATTATTATAATAAATCTGTAAGTCTGAAAATATATTTTTTTTTCTTTTCGCTAAAAGTCGTGGTGGTGTGCTTAAAATCGAAGGATACAGTATAAAGTTTGTTCAATTTAATAATTTTCAATTACAGTTATGCTTCCTAATCTGATAATATTTTTATCCAATATGCGAAGCCGTTAATTTTTTAGTTAAAATTACCGTAACTCTGTTGGAAACTACCGTATTTGTGGGCCACAGTACCCCATGCACAGTACCCTACAAAAAAGAACCCCTAGGAATTACGCATGATAATACCCAATCATTATATAAGTTTTATATATTACCTACTTATAATAAAAACTCACGGGTTTAAGGTCTCTGAAATTTATATCATATCTGGAGTACTATGGTCCCCCTTTTACGGTATGCAGCAGGAATTGTAGATAATTAAAAATATGCTTCATTAAACAATTTCATAAATTATAATTCATAATGTGTAATTATGAAGAATTATTATTATTATTGAGACGAACAGAGAAATTTATTTTGTGCAGGTTAGCCTAAAATAGTGTCTAGTAAAATATTATTTATAGTATCGAAATTTTTATAAATTGCAGAATTTTTAAATATCCTTTTGTTTATTAATATACTATGAAAAAATAAAATAGTAAAAGAAAAAGTTTTTTTTTATAAATTCTTTCTATATAATGAAATAAGAAAAAGTTCAAATATTATTTGTATATTTACATTATATAGTATCCATATTTTTCTAAAAAACTTTGTGAATTTGCTAGTACCCTAAATAATCTCCATGAATTTACTATATATTTACCGAAAAAAGATCTTGACAGATCAACATTTTTTTTTTTAATAACACATTCTTGTAAACGGTGATATCGAAAAAGCATCAATGTCTGAGCCATTCAAAAAATCATTTAAGGTAATTTGTGGTTTTCCAAAAAACTTTGATAATTCGTATTTCTTAATCCATGTTGTAGCCTCTTTTAAATTTTTATCAATTCCAATTCCATCTCTATAACATTTTGCAACTAAATAAATTGCTCTTACTTTATTTTCATTGGCTAATTTATAATACCACTTAAATGCTTTTCTTTCATTTTTATTAATAGAACTATCAATATAATATTCTGCTAATTCAAATTGTGCATTAACATTACCATTTATTGCAGCTTTTCTATTCCAATAAAATCCTTTTTCTTCATTTCTTAAAACATGTTTTCCATCATTATACCAATTTGCTACTAAATATTGACTTGTACCATGACCTTTTTTTGCAGCTTTTAAATAAAATTCAAAGGCTTTATTTTCATCTTTTAAAATACCATATCCATTATAATAACAATATCCCACTACATTTAATGCATATTTATATCCTCCTTCCGCAGATTTTAAAAATAATTCAAATGCTTTCTTTTCCTCTTTTTTAATACCAAGTCCGAAATTATAACAAACACCCAGACTATATGTTGCTTTAATGTTTTCCCCTTCTGATGATTTTGTATACCATTCAATCGCCTTATCATAATCTTTTTTGATATAATGATAATTTCCTATATAATATTGTGATGCTGAATCTCCCTTTTCAGCATTTTTAATATAAAATTTATAATTATTTCTTCTATTTAAAATAATATCTTTATAAAGAAATAAAGAATAAAAATATTGTGTAATTATTTCATTCAACTCTTTAATATCATCATTGCAAAAACTAATGCTTTCATTTTTTTGATCAAAAGTGAAGTGGTTTAATAACGCTTTTTGATTATTTTTAACTGAATTAGAAAATATTTCAAATGCTTTAATTTCATCAACCTCACATCCGATTCCATTTTGATAAAAAAATCCGATTAAACTTGAATAATAAAAAATATTTTGAGAATTACTGGTCATGATTTCGAGTACATTTTTAGGGTCTAAATCATAATCAAATAAAAAATTATTTATAAATATATTTAATATATCAGTATCATCTTTAAATTCTATATCTAAAAGAAGTGTATATAATTCTTTTAATAACTCTTTAAAAAATTTTGTAATAAAATTGTTAAAGAACAGTATATTATTAATTATTAAAGAAGGACTCGTCGTAATATTAAATTTGAAGGAAGGGGATTCATATTTAACAATATTTGATTTGAGTGAAAAAATACTATTTTGTGAATCAATAGGTTCAATAATGGAAGTAGAATCATTATTTTCGGTATCGTTATCATCAAAGTTATAAGTCATGTTGAATAATAGAATAATAGGATGAAAAACAAAGTATGAAACAAAAGATTTTCTTATTAGTTTATTTTTGTGTGATGTTACATATGGTTGCACAAATTTCTTTTGTTTGTTCAACAAAAAGTAACTATGTTAAACGTGATTTTTTTTATGCGTGATGTAACAGTACATTATGGTTGTACAAATTTCTTATGCCGGTTCAACAAAATACCGGTTAAGAAAAAATAATGAAATCGAGAAATATTAATATTTTTTTTTTTATTGAATTTTTAACTATTAAAAGAATGGATGTTTATCTAATAAAGAAATCTCATAAAATGATACTCATAGCATACTAATAGTTTTATTATGAACTCCTTTAGTTCAAATTCCGCAGGAGTGAAACGAATAATAGCAAAAATTTTAAAGGACCATCAAAAGCCATAATCGGGGTGATTTATTAGATTCGCCACTACGAAAACTTTTAACATCCTATTGGTTATATTTTCTAGAAAATATACATTTCTTATTAATGAGCGTCCATGCATCCTGCATAAAATGTACCCTTCTGTTTTGCTGTATAAGTTACGTCTGGAAATGGAGTTTAGGATTAAAATGTAATCTATAGAGCTCCATCTTTTATGCCTAATTTTAAAATAAATGTTGTTTGTCATCATCTAATATACAATCTTGCATTTTGTGCGAGTGAAATGCCCTGTTTTAAGCGATAAAAAAAAAAGTTTTTTCTTTACAATTATATCTAAATAATATTTCATTTATACATAATTTATGTTACAAATAACTCGCTCGTGACACCTATCTGTAAACAAAAAACGATGTTAGACGGTTATAAATTATAAAATTATAAAATATATATTTATAGTTTAATACGCGAGAAGTCTTGTTGAAAATTTAAATATCCTTTATTTATTAATATATATAAATAAATGCCTGTTTCTACAAATCCTATAGTAATGAAATAAAAAAAAACTCCCAATAATATTTTCAAATTCAAAGGTATAATTTCATAAAATTAATTTATGCATTAATCTTCAAAAGACCTTTGATTCCTCATATCTTACACTCCATTTTATAGCTTCCTTTAAATCTTTGTCAGTTCCAACACCATCTCTATAACACTTAGCAACTATATAAAGTGCTCTTGGTTCATTATCGTTAGCTAATTTCATATACCACCTAAATGCTTTCTTTTCATTCTTATTAATAGAATTGCTGTTAAGATAATATTCCGCTAATTCAAATTGAGCATGAATATTACCATTAATTGCAACTTTTCTATTCCAATAAAACCAATTTTCTTCGTTTTTTGGATCATGTATTCCATCATTATGATACCACTTTGCTACTAAATATTGACATTGAAAATCACCTTTTTTTGCCGCTTTTAAATACCATTTAAAAGCTTTACTTCTATCTTTCATAATTCGTCCATAATAATAACAATCTCCCACGCTACGTAATGCATAACTTAATCCTCCTTTTGCAGACTTTAAATATAATTCAAGTGCTTTCTTTTCATCTTTCATAACCCCATATCCATAATAATAACAATTACCCAATTTATATATCGCTCTAATATTTCCTCCTTCCGATGATTTTGAATACCATTCAATTGCTTTATTATAATCTATTTTGTTATAATAATAATTACCTAAATAATATTGTGATATTGAATCTCCATTTTCAGCATTTTTAACATAAAGTTTGTAGTTTTTCGCTTTATTTAAAATAATATCTTTATAAAGAAATAAAGAATAAAAATATTGTGTAATTATTTCATTTAACTCTTTAATATTATCGTCACAAAAAGTAATTGGTTCATTTTTTTGATCAAAAGAAAATTTTTTTATTATTTCTTTTTTATTATTTTTAACGGCATTAGAAAATATTTCAAATGCCTTAATTTCATCTGGCTCACACCCAATTCCATATTGATAAAAAATTCCAATTAAACTTGAATAACTAAAATCTGGTTGAGAATTAATTTTCATAGTTTCAAATACGTTTTTAGGGTCTAAGTCATATTCAAGTAAAGTATTATGTATAAATTCATTTAATCGAAGAGTATTATGATCTTCTATATCTAAAAAAACAACATATAATTCTTGTAACAATTCTTTGAAAACTTTATTAATAATTTTATTGTTACTTTCGTTTTTATTAATATCAAGGTTATAAGACATATCGAATAATATGAACGAAATAAAAAAAAAGGTACGAGAGAAATGAGTAAAGTGGCTTTTTATTTATTGCTTCGTGCAATGTTACATAGTGCTGCACAAATTTTTACAGAAGACGATCTTGGTAAGCCTAATTTAACAAAATTGGATTTATTTGGTAAACATAGCGCGGGCCAGAATTAAGTGGAATCAGTATAATAATATAAGAAGATTATTTCACGTTAAGTAAATTTATGGCAAGATCCCATACGATATATGATATTGTATTTATTGTATTACTGTATATCCGGTATCCCATAAGATCATATTCGTAATTGTTATCGGCCATGTTGTAGATGATAACTGATAATAAAGTTATTGGATATGTATGACTGACGTAAGCAACTGAGACCTTTTTCGTGTATCTTATTTATTAAGTAATCAAAATTTTGTATATCAAGTTGACCAAAATTTGTGTATCACTATTATAAAGTGATCAATAAAATTCGTGAAAAATGTCCAGTATTTACATAGAACATATACACTATTAAGTACTTTTATCAATAGCTAATCATTGTACAATATTGAGATAATAGTAAATATAGTAATAAAAATTTCAAATTAACATAGTTTAAAGTTCCATTATTTATCAACTTAACCAAATTATTTGTGTTCATAGTGATTTCTAAGTAAGTTATTATTTCTTGTAATGGTTGCGTAAATTATTCTTCCGCATTTAAAGATCGTCAAATATCATTGCCTTTGATAATTCACGCTGAAAGATAAAGTCTGAATTAAAAAAAAAATAAGAAATTTAAAATTCAATAATGAAAACAAAAATTCCAATAAATTTTCTAACCTTCTTTAGCCGTAAAATCCTTTATTTTTTTGTATTATCAAGTATATTAGCGGTTAAGACGAGTTAATGCATCTTAACCGATTTTGAACATTTGACCATAGAATATAATACGGCCCAAAGGCATGTGATTGCAATCACGTGCTCACCAGCTTAAAGCTTTAATACATACTGTATGTACAATCTGCGGTCAAAAAAAAAAAAAATTTAAAATATTTTTAACCGGTTTTCAACCGGTTAATGTTTATTTTAAATGAAAAATTTATATTAAATAGTTATTGAGGTGACCAATAGGAATTAATACTGGAGTTGATAAAGAACTACAGCAGTTCACCCTCTCTATAGTGAATTTTTATATTGTGAATAACTTGCTATAATGAAGAAAAGTTCGGGTACAGATTTATTTTTATATATAATAAAATGACCCTCAGTATAGTGAATTTCTTACTATAACGAATTTTAATCTCCAGCCCATGGGATTCACTATAGTGAGGGTGAACTGTAATTAAGTCGTTTTAACAGCCTTTTATTGATAAAAAATAAAATATTTCATTATTGGTTATCCTCATTACTACTTAAATATTTCTTCAATAGAATGATTGAAATAATTCATTTTATTTTATTAAAATTCGAATATTAATACTCTGCTGTGTTCATATGAAATATACTGTATCTGTTTTTGCTAATGATGGGGGATGGTACTTTTTTTTCCCCTAAAGGGATTTACGAATCCTGACGATCAAGAACCCGTTATAATACAAAAATCATTGACCTGAAATTCAAAATCCTGTTCCTCCGACACTTATTATCTTTTAATTTTACATTATAACTTTTTTTTATTGATGTAGTAATTTTGTAACAATTAATATTTTATTAATATATATGCATGTAAAGATTTTTAAAAATACTTCCCAAATATTAATGGTTTTGTTCTAACATTAACATTCTTATTAATATTTATAATTTCGCAAAAATTAAAGAATTTTTATTACTAGTAATGTTTAAAAGTATTTATTCTGAGTTTATTAGTTAGAAAAAATAATTTTCTAATTTAAAAATATTTTACTTTATCATATTAAATAAAAGTATAACCATAGGTGATCATCACCGGCTGTGTGATCATATCATATCACAAAAATTAGATTGTTTTAATGAAGTAAATGGAATGTTTCAAAATTTCATTGATAATAAACAACAAGAGTTTATTACAAAAGCAACAAGAGATAATTGATAAAGATGTTAATGAAAAAGAAAATGAAATTAAATGCTTTAATCCAGGCGTCGTCCGTCATGGACGACTCCCAAATAGATATTTAAGTGAAGGCGAAATTGGAAAAGAAAGTGAAGGTCGATCATGAGGGTAACTTATTAGAAAATAAAGAAACGGATAATAATAAGAAACAAAGGCGATGTAAAGGGTGCCAAGAAACTGGGCATGATTTATGTAATTGTAAAAATAAAGTTCTTGGCGAAAAAATTGAAAGTTATAATAATTTGTATTCATATTCAAATATAACATAATGCACAGTCAAATAATATAATCATGTGATTACACCCACCAGTTAGGACTGTTAGGTACTCTAGTTATTGGAGTCATGTATAAATCACTTACTGGTTTTTCGTGGCGCAGAAGAAATTGACGGATGTCACTTACTGGTTTTTCGTGGCGCAGAAGAAATTGTCGGATGTTAGCTAACGCTTCTAGCACTTTTCATCTCCCATCTGGTTCTACTAAATCCAGACCTTTCCGCTTAGCATTTTCTCCTGGCCATCTTTTAATAATAACTTCCGATTTTGGTAAACCATGACTAAGTTCGGACCAATATTTTGCAGGGATCTCTGCCTTGTAAAATGTCACATACGTTGAAATAACGCGCATGGCAAATATGGTCTTATCAATAGGTTTCTCATTATCAGTGTCACGTATATCCTCATCTCCACAAGCAATAATATTTGCGGCAATTAGTGTTTCTCCAAAACCATTTGATGAATGGACGTTTTTAATATGTTTATCCTGTTTAAAAGATTTTTTTTAGCTTGAATATGGGTTTGCAAAATAATCAAAATATTAGCGAAATGTTCAGACCTCTATAACCACCATATTTAGGTTTTGATTAGTAACCACAAAGTCGAGGTCTGCTGAAGCGAAAGGCTTTCCTTTAATGATTATTCTGCGTAGCGGATGATTTCTGGATATTGATAGAACAAACTTTTAACAAACTAAGTCACTCACAAAAAGTACTTTCCTCATTACTCACAGTATCTTTAAGGGCCAGCAATTCAAATCGGCAATACGAAGCAAATCGTCCACCAATGTGTCAATATTAGAGTCTGTGCCTGTTGTATCCTTTTCATTCTCCACAACGATACGCATTTTATCAATGAACGTTTTAACTCGATTCGAAACCTTATCGAGCTTGTCAACTTGAAAATCTGGGTTTCCGACTTTATGGCGATTGATTTCAGGAAGAAGATATTCTTCCGGAACTGTGATTGCACGATATTTGAAATGTTAGTGTTTCGCTAAGACAATTGTTTGAAACGACGTACCAGAGCCCTGTAGGGCGGGAATAACATCTTTGAAAGAAGCAGGCTGGAAGCTCACTCTCAGTAGTTGAGCATCATCTTGTTCATCTTGTTCATATTTAGGTTGAGTTCTCATAGTTCTCTTAGTTCCTTTAGTTTCTTTAGTTCCTGTGAAAAGTAAATTAGGAAAAGAAGATCGAGGAAACTTTGTAACGTGACGGAATAGCGAGAACATCATTATAATATTTAAAGTACAAAAGTGCTGACAGTAAATACCTCAGCTTGAGCCATAATTCGTCATAATTACTAAAATGGTACAAAATCACTGATTGGCCATGCTTAAAAGTAATGCTTCAATAGCAAATGAGTAGACTTTTTATTTAAGCAAAGAACAAATAATTTGACGTTAAAATTTTTGGCTTGCTCCATACAGCAAGTTTCAGTCTAAAAAAATTTAACGCTGATTAAAATTTGGGGACGAAATTCTTTATTATCGCGACTTTTTTAATTTTTTTATGCGTTACAGTATATGACACAAGGAAAAAATCTTTTAATGTGATAAATTTATTTTAATAACAAAGATTTATGATACACGTAAAAAAATTAGATTGTAAATATGTTTTTATAATTTTCATTATTTTCATCGTTAAAATAGATTAAAGTTTGTTTGATACTATGATAGTTTAAATAACAATGTTTTATAATTATTTTTTATATAGTTATGGATTTTTAGGAGTAATAAAATCATGTGATCTAATATTATAATTTAATTGGTCACACTCTAATTAGTCCAAAACACGTTGTCTTCGGCACGTGACGATGCACTTCGCAAAACTAATTATTTTTTTATTTTATAAAAGAAAAAAAAAACCTATTCCGCCCACGGAGTCATTATTATTTTGTCATTATAATGTATATAATATCAACCTAGAATCTTATATTTATCTATCCATATCACAGTATATGCTAAAAAAGTTTAAAAAGATTTTTTAAATTTAATGAATCCATATGGAATTAGACCGATCTACTATGAAGCGCCGTACTAATCAAAAATCCCGAGCAGTTACCCTGGCGGATGGATCCCTAGTTTACCCTGGATACAGTACATCCCTAGATACATCCAGAATAACATCCAGGGTAATTGGTCAAAAATCCCGGGTACTATCCTGGATGCATCCAGGCAGTGATGAGTTTTGGACACAATTTTTAACTTTAAAGGTTTTGGACAAGGTTTTGGACATAAGAGAATTGTCTAAAACCCTGTCCAAAACCCTGTCCAAAACTTGTCCAATTGCCCAACACTGCATCCAGGGTAACTCCGGTTCATAATCTACCTAAAAATTTCAAATGTATTAGAGCATCAACACGCAATTACATCAGGAAATTTTTTCCACTAAAAATCCACATAAAATCTACATTGAATATTGTGGAAATCCGAATAGTTCTAATATTTCCAAATACCCTGTGACAAAACACGTGGTATTTCGGCGAAATTTGATGTGAATCCGCGTAGGTTATATGGGATTCCGAACTAATCCATGTGGAATTACATGAATCGATCTACCTAAAAATTTCATGATGTAATTGCATGTACCAAATATATTTTATCCGTCTTGTTTTAAAAATAAATAAAAAAAATTCCTTTTAAATAAAGTATTATTACTTGTTGAATTTAAATAAAAAAAATTATAAATAATAACAATTTTATTCGAAATCGATTTCCGTACTAAATCTATAATTCATTATTACTATCACCTTCAGTTTTAAAATTAGAGGATCATTTTTCAAATTTCTCATTATATCATATATAATCACTAAAATAAAATCCAAGAAATTATGGTTATTTTAGTACAGCACATCGTTAATTTTATATAACATAATAATGATGCTACATAAAAACACTTTTTTAAATATAAAAGCGATCGAATTATAGTTGTGTTATATGTAGTGGCAGTTTATGGTGGTAAAAATTTGATTTAAATATAAAATGTTAAAATAAATCAAAATAATATTATATAACAAACTACAAAAAAATAGTAAATAACCGATAACAGATAACTAGTAAAATTTCTTTCAATTATACTGTATATAAATTTTTTTATTTGCATTAGATTAATATTACTATCCTTCTTGTCACGTGATGAAGCTGACTGACAATTTATGTTGCGAATGTTTGACATTTGACGTATCAAATAGATTAAATTATTATCTAATATAACTAATTTGTATATATCTCGAGTCCCAACGCTCAAAATCCTGAAAAAACAAAATACCGAAATGTATAATCCCAAAACTCGTAATACCAATCCCAGAATTTCATAATCCCAAAGATCATAATCCCAAATGTCAAAATCCCGACAATTCATAATCTCGTATTACAAAATTTTGAAATAAAAAAATCCTGAAAGTTTATTAATCGTATACTTTTATATGTTTAGTTTTTTTACTTTACTTAGCTGTATTACGGTATTGTTAATTTTTTTACTTTTTTATGAGAATTTTTGTTTATTTAACATATATATAAAATATAGTATTGTATATGCGCATTATAATTGATAAATTTAATGTAATTTTATTTCTATTCATGACAGATTGAATGCATTTATAAATAACGTATTAATAACCCTTCTATTTACATACTAGTACACTGCTTATTTCATTTAAGCATAAAAGAACTGGCGTAATATCCTTTGGTTATTGAGGTAATTACTACGATTAAAAATAAATACAATAAGCTAAACAATAAATTATATTTGTACTCCAAAAATTTCTACTCTGCTTGGTTTCATAAATATTATATTTCGTCTCTATTAAATTAATAATTTACCAATTTATTAATTCCAATAAATTTAAATTTAACAAAAAAAATCTTTTCTTATACTAGATTTTCATTATAAATCTTCAATGTATATAATAAATATTTTATAAAATACTTAAAATATTTATATTTAGGAGATCATCAGATATTTAAGAGATCATCAGATCATCATTTCGTATGATCGGTTAAACAAAAAATAGGTCATTTTTTTTTTTACAATAATTTTCACTTAAAAAACCTTTTATAAGTGAAAAGTGGCTACATTCCAGACTTCCCATGGAAAGGTTAATCTATATCTCATAATAAAACATCAATATGAATTAAAATCACTAAAAAATTTCTCAAAATAATTTATGTATGTTGATGTGCAACATCACACAATAAACATAAATAAAATAAAAACCCAGCCATTCGTTACTTCCATGCTTTTTATTTTTTTCTCTGTTTGTAATTATTATTCAATATGTCCGATAACATTGAAGAAAATAATCATAAAATTAATAATGATACTAATGTTACTGAATCTATTGATATACAAAAGAGTAATTTTTCAGACGAATCCTCATTTAATACTACAATAAATCCTCCTTTAATTAATAATAATGCACTTTTTCCTAATAATCTTACTATAAAATATATTAATGAATTATTACAAGAATTGCATGCATTTCTTTTAAATATGGATTCTCAAGTTGAAATTGATAATTTATACAATCTTGTGAAAAATTTTTTATTTGAATATGATTTAGATTCTGATAATGTATTTGAAATTATAAGTAATTCACAATATACTTCATGTTATTCAAGTTTAATTGGATATTTTTATCAACATGGAATTGGATGTAAAATTGATGAAATTAGAGCATTTGAAATATATTCCAACGCTGTTAAAAATAATCAAAAAACATTATTTGATCAATTTTCATTTGATCAAAAAAATGAATCCATTATTTTCCACAATGATGATATTAAAGAACTAAATGGAATAATTGCACAATATTTTTATTCCATATTCCTTTATAAAGATGTTATTTTATATATAGGAGCTAACTACAAATTTCACATTAAAAATGCTGAAATAGGAGATAATGTATCACAATATTATATAGGTTATTATTATTGTTATGATATATTTAGTACTAAACTTGATTATAGTAAGGCAGTTGAATGGTATTCAAAATCATCAGAAGGAGGAAATATTAAAGCAATGTTTGAATTAGGTATTTGTTATGAATATGGGGATGAGGATATAAGAGATGAGAAAAAAGCATTTAATCTGTACTTAAAATCTGCTGAAGGAGGGTATAGACGTGCATTATATGAGTTAGGGAATTGTTATCATTATGGTCGTTGTACTTTTAAAGATGAAGACAAAGCTTTTGAATCTTATTTAAAAGCTGCAGAAAAAGGTCATAATTTTAGTCAATATGAAGTAGCAAATTATTATAATTATGGAAGACATGTTCCAAAAAATGAAGAAAAAGGATTTTATTGGAATAGAAAAGCTGCAATAAATGGTAATACTGATGCTCAATTTAAATTAGCAGAATGTTATCTTAATAATTCTATTAACAAGAATGAAGAAAAAGCATTTAAATGGTATTTGAAATTAGCCAATGATGGGTTTGAAAGAGCAATGGATTCAGTTGCAAAATGTTATAGAGATGGCATTGGAACTAATATAAATTTAGAAGAAGCTACAAAGTGGAATAAACAATATGATGATATATTATTTGAAGTAGATAGTTTTCTATACTATGATGGTGTAAATATATATTGATGCTTTTTCAATATAATTATCTTTAATAAATTACTATTAGGAATTTTTTTTATTTCATTATATTAAGAGATTGTTTTATTTTCATATACAAATAAATAAAATAATAAAATGGCATTTAAACCAAATTTTTTATTGATTGCTAGGTTACGTAAATTCGCTTGCTTTTAATACTTCAGTTAATTAACTTGTAGAATAAAAAGAATTCCAGCAACTCTTTGAGCTTTAATTTTATTTTTATGTGTAAGTGATAACAAGCCTAAAGATATATAAATAGGGAATAAGGGACTCAAATTTTATTTATATTTTTTTTTTATTTCAAATATCAAAATTAAACTGATAAGAATAATATAATTCAAACTTAACAACATACTTTTAAATGGGCATTTGAACTCCCAAGAGATAGCGACCCAGAGCATGTTGTGAAAAAATCTATTAGATGAGCGAGTGACTTATATTAATATGTGAAATATACTAGAATTATAAAAAATTGAATGATTAAATCACAAATTCACAATAAAACATAATGAATTATGATTTACTAGGAACTATAAGATCTATTTTGTTATTTAGTTATGTAAGAAGGAATTTTGCGAAATGCAAAAGTGGTAGTGTCAAATAATGATGAAATGAAGAATTGTTTTCAGAATGGACAAAAAGAAACATTGAAATGCGTGTCACATTATTAAATTTCCGTTGCCATGCGTAATTCCAATGCGTAACAATAAATTCTCACATAAGAATTTACTATATTTTTTAATCCTTGAACAGGTTTAAATATGTCCATGTGACGCGCGATCATAGATTACAGTATAAATATTTTTACTAAAAATAATAATTATTATTTAAAATCACGTTCGCGTAAAATATTATTATTTAATAAATTATTACATAAATTCGATGACTTAAATTTTTAGGTAGATCGATCCACATTAATTAGTTCGGAAATATGTGGAATTTCACACATTCCCATATCTGATATGACCTTCGCGAATTTTGTGGATCTACGCATAAAATATCACGTGTTTTGTCACAGGGTATTTGGAAAATATTAGAACTATTCGGATTTCCACATATTTCGATGTAGATTTCTATGTGGATTTTTTAGTGGAAAAAATTTTCTGATGTTAAATTGTACGAATTTTTCCGAAATTAACAGAATTAATTATTCTTTATGATACACGTAATATTTTACGAAATTTCTTCGGATAAAATTTGAACAATAACGACATATAAAAAAGAAATTTGTATAACAATGTGCAACATCACACAAAAAAAGCCACTTTTTCATTACTAATATGATTGTGATAGTTTTGAAGAAAACAATAAGATTCAACATGGAATTGGAAGTAAAGTTGATGAAATTAAACCGCTTGAAATATTTTCTGATGCTGTCAAAAATAATCAAAGAGAAATATTAGAAAAGTTTTTTTAGTCAAAAAATGAGACCATTACTTTCTGCAATAGCGATAAAAATCCACATAGAAATCCACATCGAATATTGTGGAAATATGTGGAAATCCGAATAGTTCTAATATTTTCCAAATACCCTATGCGTAGGTCCACAAAATTCGATGTAGGTTATATGGGAATGTATGAACTAATCCATGTGGAATTACATGGATCGATCTACCTAAAAATTTCATGATGAATATTAAAGAACTAAATGGAATAACTGCACAATATTTTTATTTCATATTCCTTTATAGAGAAATTATTTTATATATAAGAAATAACTACAAATTACACATTAAAAATGCTGAAGAAGGAGATAGTGTATCACAATATTATATAGGTTATTATGATTGTTATGATATATTTAGTACGAAAATTGATTATAGTAAGGCAATTGAATTGTATTCAAAATCATCAGAAGGAGGAAATATTAAATTTGAATTAGGTATTTGTTATCAGTATGGATATGATGTTATATAAGATATGAAGAAAGCATTTGAATTGTATTTAAAATCTGCTGAAGGAGAATATAAGCTTGCATTAAATGAATTGGGAAGGTGTTGTTATTTCAGGATTTGTACTTTTAAAGATGAAGACAAAGCTTTTGAATTTTATTTAAAAACTGCAGAAAAATGTCATTCTTACAGTCAATATAAAGTAGCAAATTACTATAATGATAGAAAACATATTCCAAAAAATGAAGAAAAAGGATTTTATTAGAATAGAAAAGCTGAATGGTATTTGAAATTAGCCAATAATGGTATTGAAAGAGCAATGGATTCAGTTGCAAAATGTTATAGAGATGGCATTGGAACTAATAAAAATTTAGAAGAAGCTACAAGGTGGTTTATAAAATATAAAGCATCAAAATGATAATATTAATTGTAAATTCAAAACCAATTTTTTAATGGTGTGTATATATGCTTTTTCAATATCAATAAGTTATTTTATCTTTAAATTGTTATAATAAATTGTAACTATTTATTTTATTTTATACAGTATTACAAATAAAAAAGGTCCTTTAAAAGAAAAATCTCTAGGTTACATAAAAATTTTTTTATGTAAGTGGTAATAAACTAAAATATCTATGTATCAAATAAGAATTAAAGGTCACAATATTATCATAAATGTGTTAAATAAGGATTAAAGAACTCAAACTTTATGTGAATTTTTTTATTTTCAAATATAAGAATAACATAATACATTCAAACATTAGAATAACATACTTCGAACTTACTTTTTAATGGACGTTTGAACTCCAAGAAATAGCGATCCAACAGTTTGTGAAAAAATACCGTGAATAATAATAATCTATTACATGTTTGTCATTAGCGAGTAAATTGTGCGAAGTACAGAGTAATTAATGTACAATTAATTACTATTTAGACAAAAATAATACTTGATTAAATCACAAACAAAATATTATGAATTATGATTTAATTACTTACACGAAATGCAAATGTGTCCGTCGGTGTCAATAATGATCCTTATTCAAGTGTCACCCATCCACATAACCCACATCAAGTATCACTAGTTCGCACTTTAATATGAACACTAATCCACATTTAAGTATGGGTGGCCCACATTCAAACGTCAATAATTCTTCACATTTGACTATGGACCAGTGTTCGGAAATGACCTGGTCATTTGACCTTTTAAATGATTTATGAAATCATTTGTCATTATTCATAATCATTTGTCATTTGGTCATTTCAATCATTTGATCACATAAATAATCATGTGACTATAATTAAAAAATAATGAATGTAATGTAGGCAAAAATTATAATGCTGACCAAAATTACATTCAAATGACCAAAGGTCATTTGTCATTTAAGCATTGGAATGACATGTCATTTGTCATTTGTCATTTGAATCATTTGGTCATTTCAAGTCATTTGCCGAACACTGCTATGGACAGCCCACGCTCAAATGTTGACATTGAAAGGCGTGACACGTTATTAAATTTCCGTTTCCATGCGTAATTCCACAGTCAAATATAATTTTACAACAAATTCAATATATATTTGAACAGTTTTAAAGTGATTATGATTCATAAATTATAAATATTTTTTTACCAAATTATAATCACGTTCATTTCTTATGAAGTTTTAGGCTAAGTCACAGTAAATTTTTAACGGCTTCACGTAAAATATTATTAACATCATACTGTATTTAATAAATTAATGCTTATATAAAACGTACATATAACTCATATTCGATAATTTTTGACTTCTTAAATGTACGAATCTTTAAACAAAATTAAATATTCTTTCTTTATATCATAAAATTTATCGTAATATTTTATTTACTAAAGTTCTTTATTAGATAAAATTTTGAAGATCATTACATAAACAAATAAAAATTTGTATAAATTTGTACATGCATGTGCAACATCACACAAGAAGCAATAATAAAAAGCCATTCTTTTCCATTACATTGTTAAATTTTCTTTTTAATTACTATTCAATATGTCTGATAACTTAGAAGAAAACAATAATAAGAATCATAATAATATTGAATCAAATGATAAACAAAAGAATAATTCATCATCAGATTCAGAAGTTTTTGTATATGAAGAAGATTCAGTAATTTTTGTATATCCTTTAACAATTCCTTCTACGGAATATCTTAATGAGTTATTACAAGAATTATTACAAGAATTGTATACACTTCTTTTAAATTTAGAATCTGAGGATGATATTAATCATTTGTGTGAATTTATAAATAATTTTTTATTTGAATATGATTTAAATGCCAATGATGTACTTGATTTTATGGCAAGTTATTCAGAAAATATTTCATATTATTCAAGTTTAATTGGATATTTTTATCAACATGGAATTGGATGTGAAATTGATGGTAATAAAGCACTTGAAATATTTTCTGATTGTGTTAAAAATAATCAAAAATCAAATCTTGAACAAGAGAATGACAGCACTATTTTCTGTTATAATGAAGATATAAGAAAATTAAATGAAGTAATTTTACAATATTTTTACATTATATTTCTTTATGAAGATGTTATTTTATATAGAAAAAAAAATTACAAATTACATATAAAAGATGCAGAAAATGGTGATAATGTATCACAATATCATTTGGGTAATTGTTATCATAATGGTGGTTTTAACATCAAACAAGATTATAATATGGCAATTGAGTGGTATTTAAAATCATCAGAAGGAGGAAATATTAAAGCAATGTATAAATTAGGTTATTGTTGTGATCACGGATGTGGTGTGACAAAGGATGAGAAGAAAGCGTTTGAATTATATTTAAAATCTGCTGAAGGAGGATATAAACATGCAATAAAAAATGTGGGGGTTCGTTACTTTAATGGACAAGGCACTTTAAAAGATGAAAATAAAGCTTTTGAATGGCATTTAAGAGCTGCAAAAAAAGGACATAGTACTAGTCAATATTTTGTAGCAAATCATTATTTTTATCTTGATGAAGAAATAGCATTTTATTGGGTTAGAAAAGCTGCGATAAATGGTAATATTGATGCACAATTTGAACTAGCAGAATATTATCTTAATAATTCTATTAACAAGGATGAAAAAAAAGCATTTAAATGGTATTTGAGATTAGCCAATAATTATGAATATAGAGCAATTTATTCAGTTGCAAAATGTTACAGGGATGGTATTGGAATTGATAAAAATTTAGAATTATCTGCAATATGGTTTAAAAAATATATTGGTGAAAAAGATTCATTTGCCTTAAATGATTTTTTGAATTGTTCAGGGTATTACTCATTATAAATTAATAACTTTTATAACGATAATATTATTTCTTAATTTTTATTGTGATTTTTAAGATTATAGTAAGAAAAGCTTATTAAATAAAAGGAGATTTAAAACTTTATATTAACCTTTACAGAGTTTTAACTACAATAATTTAAATAATTACGAATACAATATGATTCGTTATATTCGCTATATTAAATTAAAGGCAGACTGAGACACTCGGACAAGAATTTTGATAGTGAAATTTATCTAATGAAATTAGTTTATGATTTTATAATTAAAGCTTTAAAGGTCGTACACAGAAACTGACTGTAAGATGTATGCCGTACTTTTAAACTTAAATTTATCTTTTCTTCTTCGATAATTAATAGAATCTTATTACGAGGATTATATATACAGAACTCGATATAACGAGTATGCAATATAACGAATTTCATGATAAAGCGATTTTTTAAGATTTTTCTATATAAATATATAAATAGTTATATTAAACTTATAAATTTCGATACGGCGATTTTTTTCAGTGAGCCGAAGAGTTTAAATGAATTGTGAATTTGTGATATTAATAACGATATCATATTAGAATTTATGATTATCAGTTACAGATTTAACATAATTGTTATTTTGATCGATTATCTCATATTATTATGTATTAGCATAATAATGGATAGTAGCGGGAGTTTATTATAAAAATTGTATGAGCGGATCCGTCAAACCGATTGGATCATTTAAACCAAATAAGTACTCCGTTACAGATTTATAAGTCAATTATTTAATCTTTGATTTAATACTTTTTGTTTAATAATTTACAAAATTTAATAATAAATATAATATATATCCCTATGAAAAGAATGTCCGGAAATTGTCATCGAAAATGGCCGGAAAATGTCTGGAAAATGTCCAGGAGGGCTCAGGCTCAGCCGGAATATTGCAATTTTCCGGTCATTTTTCATTTTCCGGACATTTTCTATATCAATTTCCGGACATTCTTTTTTTATAGAGATACTATACATACTATACATACTACAACATATAATTAGTTAAACTATAAAATGTCTTATATAAGATTACTAAATATACTTTCTTGGTATATTTGCTGCGCTTAATAATATTTGACTTGTTTAATAAATGGTTCTAATGCCCTATAAAAAATGTTAAAATGTTTGTCCGATAAATATTCGGAATGGATCAATTTTCCGGACACTCGCACGCTATTAAATACAAGATACGGAGATTGAGAATTTTTAACCACATAAAAAACGTACAATATCATAATGAATGTCCAAGGAACGGAGTCGATTTTCAGAACAAAAAACTGAACAATGTTTGGACAATATTTTTTATAGGGATGGCGACGCATCAGATTATTATATGATTAAATTTACATGTATTAAATGCTCCTTAATGATATCGACCTTCATTAAGTTTTATATTTTAATATAAAACAAATTCATTGATTTATAGTATCCAATAATATATAATTAGTTTATATATCGATATGGAATTATGTTTACTATACAGTATATCATATTTAAAAAAGTTTAAGATATTGAATTACAAGAGCTCTTTTTATGATGGTTCCTCTATCTTTGTATATCAGCGAGGAGGAAAAGATTTGAGCGTCATATGGGCGAAGAAAGAGGCGGTAATACTGACGAAACAAGTGTGGAATATAATTTTATTTTTATTTTAAACCAGGAAAGAAGACACAGAAAAGAGGATAGGTCATTGAAATACAAAAAAAAATACCTTATAAAACTCTACCTATCTAAGCTAAAAGCTAATTCAATGGAACCTGGTAGTGGCTTGAAATTTGAGTTTCAATAATGCCTAACCCGTTCCTAATGAATGAGTACGTTAGCGTATTCTTATTTAGGTCGCATCCATTGAGTATTAGGTAGAATATTAAAATGAGAGCAAAACATTTAAGTAGTATTTAAGTAGTATTTAAAATTAGCCAATAAAATAATCTAAAAAGTAATATATCTGTATTTAATTTGAAGTATTGAATTACAAGAGCTCTTTTTATGATGGCTCCTTTATCTCTATACATCAGCGAGAAGGAGAAGATCTGAACTTTAATGGCTTTGAAGTTTGAGTTTCAATAGCGTCTAACCCGTTCCTGGTAACAAATGAGTACGTCAGCATATTCTTATTTAGAACGTATCCATTGAGAAATAGACAGAATATTAGAATGAGAGCAAAAATAGTATCTATCCTGGAATTTCATCTATCCCGTTCCTAATAAATGAATACGTTAGTGTATACTTTTGTGAATTAGACTCCTTCTTGGTTGATTGATATTACTAAAGATATTGTGAGATATAAAGATGAAGATGGTACTCCCTTAGTTGAAAAAATTAAAACCGATCTTCCAATCCGTTACTGCAAAAGTTGGTAATGAACCAATGTTGCGATTGAGTTGGTGAAACTGGCGCTGGGCATTATGTTAAAATGGTCCACAATGGTCTTGAATATGGTGACATGCAACTTATTTGTGAAGCATATCATTTAATGAAAGAAGGACTTGGCTTTGACCATGATAAGATTAGTCGTGATGTTTTCGAATTTTGGAACTTATTTAGGACGGTATCGGGACATTTCGCTCATTTCGCTGAAAAATAATCTCTGGCCTGAGTTATTTATAATTCTGCATAATGTTGGCCCTATTTTTCGGCGAAACCTTTCGGCGAAATGTACCGTAAACCATTTAAAATTAGCCACCTAAGAGTAAAATTTCTGTATTATTGAAGTATTGAATTACAAGAGCTCTTTTTATAATGATGGTTCCTTTATCCTATACATCCCTATCGAAAATTACGATCTGAGCGTAAGTGGCTTTAAGTTTGAATTTCAATCCGTTCCTAATAAATGAATACTGTATTCTTTTATTTAGGACGCATTCATTGAATAGTAGATAGAATATTAGAATGAGAGTAAAGCATTTAAATGGTATTTAAAAATAATCTAAGATATGTCTGAATTTTTGAGGTATTGAATTATAAGAGCTCCTTTTGATATCTCTATATATCAGCGAGAAGGAGTGTTAGTGGCTTTGAAGTTTGAGTTTCAATAATGTCTAATTAACCCGTTTCTAATAAATGAGTACGTTATCTATAAGCGGACATTTATATTTTATATAACTAAAAAAAATTTGAGACATTTAGAATAGTCTCCATATACATCCATTGAGCATAGCATTTAAATAGTATTTAAAATTTTCCAATAAAAATAACCTAATTAATAAAGTATGAAGTATTGAATTATAAGAGCTTTTTTTTATAATGGTTCCTTTATCTCTATATATCAGCGAGAGGGAGTGTTACTGTGTTAGTTTGAGTTTCAATAATGTCTAACTAACCCGTTCCTAATAAATGAGTACGTTAGTCGCATCCATTGAGTGGTAGACTGGTAGGTATGAGAGCAAAGCATTTAAGTGGTACTGTTATTTAAAATTAGAAATAACTTGACATAACTTGGGAATAGATTCATTAGATCATTCAAATTATTATTCATAATTAATATTGAAAGTATTTATTTGACGTATATATGTTACATAAATGCTATACTAAACAATTCAAAAAACTTAGTTAGTTGGACCAAATAATCAATCTATTTTCGATCCACGATCCACTAATATTCATCATCCATTCATCACGATCTTCGTAAGACAACCTTCAATGGGTATGAAATCAAAAAAAAATTTGTTGGGAACAGTTTCACATCACATGATTTTCTCGTGAATCTAAAATCGGAATGATACGGAAGAAATAATTTTGTAGAAAGAAAATCCCCTTTTCACAAATAATCCACAAATAATCACATGAAATCATTTGAAATCTAACCGAGAAAAGACAGGATTATTAACCTGTGTTTTTGAGTAAAAAAAAAAAAAAAAAAAAAAATCCAATATAAAGTCAAAAAGAAAAAAAAAAAAAAGATTAACGATTGGTGTGTGCGTTTTTTATTTTGGGCGTAGATAATTTTTTGATCTACTTAAAAAGACCCTTTATTTTTTTTAGTTTCAAAAATTCCCACAGAAACGACAAAAAAATTTTTTTTTTTCTCCGAGTAAAATAATAAATCTAAGATGAAAAATTATGTCATTATTAATGTACATGAGATTATGAGAAAAATATAGTATTAAAAATAAAACAATTTGTTAACTTTTTACCTTAAATAAATAAGATCAGGGGGAAAAAAAAAATATGCTAAATAATCTTATCTCTTTCATGTCAAGATTTACTAAATTAAGGAGTGGGGGACGTGTCACCTTGTTATCTTTTGTCAATGATCAATATTACCTTTATCGGTTAAAGATGGAAACAAAATGTGTAAGTGTGTAACTTTATTAAAAAATTTAATCTTTGTAAACGATAAAAATAAATCATAAAATCTAGTGTTTGTTTTATTATATAATAAATGTGATATGAAATTTGTGATGAAAAATTCATTTCGCGTTTATATATATACTAGTATATATACAGTATATAAACGGTAAAATATATATTATATAAGATAATATGATACATCACTTTAAAAAAAAACGGGTTGAGCGTGTGACATAATTTAAAGTTTTGATAATTCACACGCATGACATATACTTTTATTTATGGTATAAATGGTATATATACTTGTTATATAATTGTTATATAATGTATATATAATGTATATATAATGTATATTAATATTGTATGTATGTATTATATGGAAATCTCATGATAAAAAAAAAGTTTCATTATTATTATTTTTAAACGGATTTTATCATTTGAGTATTCATTAACGCATAAAAGAGTCATTAATGGTTCATTCATTTTGAAAATAAACAAACAAATAAATAAAAAGCCGTTTATTTCACATACTTCACATGGAAAAAAGTACTTTTTGGTAATAACGTTAAAAAAAATAAAATAAAATAAAAAAAAATTTTTGATCAAAAAAAAATTTTTTTTTTTTTTTCTTATACGCGTTCTTTTTTTTTGGGGTTCGTTTTCATAATGTTTGAATTCTATTGGATTGTAAAAGTATTGTTACATAATGCAATGGAATTGGCGTCACTGCATTTGTAAGGCGATAAAAAAAAAAAAATGTGACCAACACCGGGATTTGAATTTCTTTTTGGAAAGTGAGGAGGGTTTCTTATCATATTTAGTTTGATTGATTATTGAATAGAATTCTTTTTTAGATTTTTTTTTAGATTTCAAAAAAAAAAAAATAAAATAAAGTAATATATTAAGTAAAATTTATTTATTGAAAACAATTATCTTTTAAAGGATTAAATTCAAATCTCTATTGAAAATATATATATATATATATATAATGTACAATAAACTATGCATAAACCAATTAACCATTCAGAATTTATAATCTGCTTTTTTTAAGTTATAAGTTAATTTCAATGTAACACTTACCAATAACTGATAAAACAAAAAAAATTTTATCAATTTTTTTTTTTTTTTT